CGGGGGGCCCCCGGGGAACGGAAAGGCTCCCAGGGGGGCCCCTCGGGGGCCCCCAAGAGCTGGCGGAGAGAAAAGTGGACTGGCTTTGTGCAGAAGACCCAAGAGTCCTTTCCTTGCTGCAGCGGCTCTACAATCTGCAGCAAACGGGGGTGGCGGAGGCGCTGCAGCAGCAGCGCGTCTTGCTGCAGCAGCTCGCGCAGCTGCTGCAGCACGGGGCCCTCAGCTGGCAGCGCAGCAAACTCCGGGGACTTCAAGTTGCAGGCAAAGAGAGACACAGAGTCCCCTGGCCGGTCGATGTGGTGCCCGCTGTAAACCTGCAGCAGCAGCAGCAGCAGCAGCAGCAGCAGCAAAAGTAGGAAGCATTTTGCAGCAGGGGGCGAGGAAGACGAACGCTGCTGCTGCTGCTGCTGGGACACAGCTCAGCTGCTAACAGAGTGTACGTCCACACGGGTGCAGCAGCAGCAGCAGCAGCAGCAGCAGCAGCAGCAGCAGGCGCACTGTCCATCTGCCGTGTCGGGTGCCCCTGATGATCGGTTCTCGGTCGACATGGTACTGCTTGAGGAGGGGGTTCCCCATGTGTGCGTGGGGCGGGGTGTACGTACACCTGAGGCGGGGGAGGCCCAGCTGCTGCTGCTGCACCAAAAGCCAAATTCAAAGGGCCCTCGAAGTGGCTGCAGCTCTGGGGGGGGCCCCCAGTGCATGCGCAGGGCCCCATAAATGCTGCTGCGGGTGGCGGGCGGGTTTTGCTGCAGCAGCTGCAGCAGCTGCAGCAGCTGGCTGCGCGTTTCGCCCAAGACCTCCGCGGGAATCCGCGCCGCCGGAGCTCCGCAGCAGCAAAATTGAGAAACTAATGAAGAAAAAAAAATAGGAGAAAAAAAGGAAAGTGTTTGAAGTGAAAATGAGGCGAAGAGGAGCCAGCCACCCACCCGGCGAAGCTACGAGCTGCATGTACACCTCAGCAGCAGCGCGTCAAATCGAGCAGCAGCAGCAGATAATGCCTTTGGCTCAAAAGGAGTTGCAAAAACGCGAAAATTAAATATTTATTTGATTAAAAAGGACTATTATTTGCGGCTTTGTGGCGAATTACCCCGGGGCTTTGCGGAGAACTGCCGGCAAGTCGCCAGCATGCGTGGACTTCGCTGCGGAGGCTACCAACTTGAACGCCCGCGATCTTCTAGGAAAGCGCTGATGAATTTGCAATTTTATTTTATTTTTGAATTTAGTTCGAAGAGTTCTTTCTAATGATGTGACTTTTGTGGCTTTTAAATATCTTTTCTCCGAACTTCCGCAGCAGCGCCCCTACGCAGACACCCCGGCTGCACAGCCGCAGCAGCCTCGCTGCGTTTCCCGTCTTTCTTGTCGAATTGCAGGAATTAAAAACTGTTAAAGACTTTTATTTCAATTTATTTTCAAGTTTTCAGCGAATCGAAGCTGCAAACGACAGAAGGGGCTCGCTGGCGCCGAGATCTGCCGGCGCTTCTTGAGGGGTTCTGCAGCTGCCAGCTCCTCGCAGCTAAAGCCGCTTTCAGCCCCCTGCAGCAGCAGCAGCAGCAGCAAAAGCCCGCAGCTGCTGCTGCCGCTTCTTCTGCTGCTGCTGCGCCTTTGCTGCTGGACTTAGAGGGGGCGCTGCTGCGCTGCGCTGCGGCTGTGCGGGCGGCTGCTGCAGCAGAGCTTCTTGGTCGAAAGGGACTTCTTTCGAATTTCTTTTTGCTTTTTGCTGCTCTCTTTGTTCCAGAAAAGGGAAATTAAAACGAATTAATTCAAGAACTGAGCTGGGACTCCCAAGTTTCCCTAAAATCGAGTCAGTGCAGCACAAGTTGATTTTGAATTTGTTGCACTATTCAACTTGGTGTTAATTTTGAGGTGTACGTACACCTGAACAGATCGCAGCTCGCGAGAGCAGCAGCGCCCTCGTGCTGAGCAGCAAGTTCAGATTCAATTCAAATATTTAATTTTTGAATTTAATTCCCAATTTATTATTTAATTCAAAGTTGCCGATGCGCATTCAGCTTTTCGAGATCGCGCACGTTTAGGTGTATGTACACCTCCTGCTGCTCAGGTGTCTAGACACCTCATGCAGCTTCACTTGCAACGCGAGAATTGCAAAAGGATATTCATTTACAGCTGCTTTTATCTCTTTAAATATTCAACAAAATAATAATTTTAACTTTTAAATAAACACATTAATTCCAAGAAAATAAATCGACGAATTTCCACTTTCGAAAGTTCAACTTTCAGGTGTATGTGCAGCTCCCGCGCGCCGCAGTGAATGACCTCGACTTTGACTCATCAGATTGATCACAACGATTTAATCATTTAATTAATTAATTAATTACTAATTAATTAATTTATTCGTTTATTAGATTTAATAGCAGGATGCAGCAGAATAGCATTAAATGGAGCCTAAATGCTGCTTTGCTGCTGCAGCAAATTCATCTTAGTCAATTCCATGGAGAGTCTGGGGCCCCTTCCTGCAGTGTCTGTGTCTGGGGTGGTTTCGAAGTTAATAAAAAACAAAATAAGAGCATTTAAAGAAGCAAAAAGGGCAAAGAGAGCAGCAGGAGGCCCGCAGCAGCAGCAGCTGCAGCAGCAGCTGCAGCAGCAACGGAAACTCTGGGTGCAGCTCTATGAAGACCTCCAAGACGACGGCATCAGATGTGATGTCTGCGCCAACTCAGACACAGCTGCAGTACGTGCTGCTGCTGCTGTTGCTGCTACTGCTGCTGCTGCTGCTGCTGTGCTGGGTTTCGGTGGCCCCTGCTGCTGCGGTTGTGGGCTTTGGCGCCTTTGCGGCTGCTGCGTTCGCTTTGCTGCTGCTGCTGCGGCCCATCAGCAGCAGCAGCAGCAGCAGGTTGGCAGTGACGTGTGCTGCATCTGGCGCGCCCTCCTGGCTGTTGCCGAGGGTTTAGGGTTTAGGGTTTAGGGTTTAGGGTGTAGGGTTTGTAGAAGCCGTCAGCGCTCTAGCGCAGCTCGAGGGCGTAGGGTGTAGGGTTTGGAGCCTGCGTGTTGCGCGTCGCCCCAGGGCCAGGGCCCAGGGCCTAGGGTTTAGGGTTTAGGGTTTAGGGTTTAGGGTTTAGGGTTTAGGGTTTGCAGGACGACGCTATAGTGCTGTGCGACGGCTGCGACGTGGCAGTGCACCAGAGCTGCTACAGCATTCCCCAAGTCCCTGAGGGGGAGTGGTTTTGTGAGTTTTGCAAAACTCAAAAAGCAGCAAAAGTTCATTTCAAACAACTCCAACTCATTCTCCAAAAACCCCACAAAACCCTCCAGCAAAAGCAAGGCACGCCCAGGGTTAGGGTTTAGGGTTTAGGGTTTAGGGCTTCCGAGTTCGGGTTTGGGGGCTGGCGGTGGGGTTTAGGGCTTGGGGTTTGGGGTTTGGGGGCTGGGGTTGGGGTTTAGGGTTTAGGGTTTGGGCTTTGGGGTTTTGGCGGCTTTTCTGTTTCTGTCGGGGGTTTAGGGTTTGGGGGTTCTGGCGGAGGTGTTGCGGGGGGCTGCTGTGGAGGGCGTGCGCGGCGTAGGGTTTAGGGTTTAGGGTTTAGGGTTTAGGGTTTGCGGCTGCAGCGGAGGCTGCTGCAGTGCTGCAGCAAGCAGAAAGCAACAACATTGATGTCCCTTGTCTTCCGCGCGCCTGCGTGCTTTGCCCCCGCCGCAGCGGGGCTTTAATCCGGACAACTGAAGGCGAGCTAGGGTTTAGGGTTTAGGGTTTAGGGTTTAGGGTTTGGGGTTTGGGGTTTGGGGAAGGCGGTGGTGTTAAGTGCGCGGGGTGGGATTCGGGCAACGGAGGGCTGCCGTGAGGGTAGTTTAGGGTTTGTGAGTGTGTTTTGTGGTGCAAACCCTTTTTTAGGGTTTGGTGTGCTGTGGGTCAAACCCCTTTTAGGGTTTGTCTAGTTTGTTAAGTATCGGCTTTTCTCCCTTGTGTGCTGCCTCGTTAGAGTAGAGTCTTCGTGTCAGGTTTAGGGGCTTGACAATTCGCCGAATTAGGGTTTGCGGCTTATGCGCCGAATTAGGGTTTATGCCTTACCGTTCGAACTAGGGTTTGTGGCGTATCCGCGGAACTAGGGTTTGGGGTGTATACGCTGATTTAGGGTTTGGGGTGTGTACGCTGATTTGGGGTTTGGGGTGTATACGCTGATTTAGGGTTTGGGGTGTATACGCTGATTTAGGGTTTGCGGCTGCGGCGCAGGGCTGTGGTCGCACGTGAGCTGCGGGCTGTGGGTGCCGGAGTGCTGGGTGTTGGGGTGTCGGGAAGTCTGCGGAGTTTCTTTT